GTAAAACATCCGAATATGAAACAGATGTGGTGTATTTTATCTCAAGATCACTGAGAAAGATCGAGTTGACATACAGGTATGAATGGAAGTAACTATTGTAACTATTTTTAATTGATAATACGTCGTAGATATATCTAAATGTCAATTAAAGGCCATAGCAAGCATTTTCTTCTTCATGTGCAAGTTTTTAAATAATTACTGCTTCATAGAATATAAAAATAGGAAGGCTAATAAAGGAGCAAAATTAGTACCCATTAAAAATCCAACAGTTTGCTGAAAGAATCATAATAATTTATAACAAAGTAATAGAGTTGTTGACGAATCATAATAATTATATTATAAATTTCGACTTCCATTTTATTGAAGAAGCAGTTGTCTATAATATCAAAACGCTAAGCTTTTAATTAATAGTGAGGAATGGTTGTATAAAGTGTAGAAAAGTCGTACGTTTTGATGTAACTGTCTGCTGAAAACTTTGTTGATTCTAATTTTTTTTAAAAGTTCTTTTGAGTTCTTGAGAATCCACATCTGATTAACATCACTTCTTGAATACTGAGTATGCTGTAGCACAGTCTAAAGATTTTCCTTTACAGCAGTTAATATTTTTTGTAAAGAGAAAAGATAGGGGCTTGGTGGAGGATTTGCTGGACTTGGCAATGCATTCCTGTTTGTAATTACTTTTATGAAGATAAGGAATCTAGTATAGGTAAGGTAGATCAAACTCATCTTGGTTCTCTAAAGATAAAAGTATTTAACACTGAATGTGATTTTAAAGAATTTCATCTTTAAAAAGTGAACTGCGAGTATAAATTAGATTTCCAGACGTAGAATTCAAGTTCTTTTGAAATACAGTTATTTGACTGGAACCCTAGCATATTGATTGTGTTGCCTTTTTAATTCTGTTGTCACCTCCAATTAAGTTTTTATTTCTTTCAAACATAAACTGGAAAAAGTGTTTGGATTTTCAACATTTGTTTTCCTCATGGTTCAACAAAGTGAGCTGAGAAACTTAGGGTTTTAGTCAAACGGGGAACAAGATCAATCTTTCTACCTGAGACTCTCAAATCTTAGATATTTCTTTTGTCCTGTGTTCCAGTTTGGTATAATTTATCAGCATTCTGTAATAAGTCTAAAACATTGCTGTCAACTGAGGAAAACGTAACAAGAGGTCCATGGGCCATATCGCTCACCTTAGTAACTTGAGTGATGCAGATCTTTTTTAAAGATTTGTTCAATATATATTTCTATGTAAAACTTGGATTCCCTATTGTGGCCCCGCCCTACCCCTGGGGGTCATGATTTTAATAATTTAATATCTACACTACCCAAGGATGCTTCCACATAAGTTTGAGCTTTCCTGGCCCAGTGGTTCTTGAGAAGAAGATTTTTAAAGATTTGTTCTATATATTTCTATGTAAAACTTGGATTCCCTATTGTGGCCCAGCCCTACCGCCGAGGGTCATGATTTTAACAATTTAATATCTACAATACCCAAGGATGCTTCCACATAAGTTTGAGCTTCCCTGGCCCAGTGGTTTCTAAGAAGAAGATTTTTAAAGATTTGTTCTATATATTTCTATGTAAAACTTGGATTCCCTATTGTGGCCCCTCCCTACCCCAGGGGGTCATGATTTTAACAATTTAATATCTACACTACCCAAAGATGCTTCCACATAAGTTTGAGCTTTCCTGGCCTAGTGGTTGTTGAGAAGAAGATTTTTAAAGATTTGTTCTATATATTTCTATGTAAAACTTGGATTCCCTATTGTGGCCCCGCCCTACCCCCGGGGGTCATGATTTTAACAATTTAATATCTACACTACCCAAGATGCTTCCACATAAGTTTGAGCTTTCCTGGCCCAGTGGTTCTTGAGAAGAAGATTTTAAAGATTTGTTCTATATATTTCTATGTAAAACTTGGATTCCCTATTGTGGCCCCGCCCTACCCCCGGGGGTCATGATTTTAACAATTTAATATCTACACTACCCCAGGATGCTTTCATATAAGTTTCAGCTTTTCTGGCCCAGTGGTTCTTGAGAAGAAGATGTTTTAATGACCCCACCCTATTTTTGTATTTTCTTGATTATCTCCCCTTGGAAGGGGTCTTGGCCCTTGATTTTAGGAATTTAAATTTCCCTTTACCCAAGGATGCTTTGTACCAAGTTTGGTTAAAATTGGCCCAGTGGTTCTTGAGAAGAAGTTGAAAATGTGAAAAGTTTACGGACGGACGGACAGACGGACGGACGACGGACAACCGGTGATCAGAAAAGCTCACTTGAGCTTTCAGCTCAGGTGAGCTAAAAACCTGAAAGTTTAAGCAATATCTAATGATTATGACCATGACGCAATTTAAAAATCTTTAAATTTGGATTGTCATCATTATTTTTTCATGTGTCAAAGCCACTCCAGCATTCCCAGTGACGCTGGCTGGTCCTGTCCAAACTAAATCAGGCAATGTTACATCTGCTGAAGCACTACTGACATCCTCGCTACTGATATATTCAATATCTAAATACCAAAACTTTGGTACATATGGTGACAATGGCATATATTCTTCGTTGGATTTTTCTTGAAATAAAAGTGAACCTTGTCAAACAAAGAAAGTCTGGCTTAAAGGGTATTCAACCCAGTTGCCTGATACAAAGTACTGTCTATTACATATGCCTGCCTTCTTTTAGCTATTTTGCTGACCTTTGTTTTACTGGAATGTGATTGCAATAAGTTGATGAATCAATGTCAACATTTTTATTCAAAATCCAACAATGTCTTCTTGAATGCTTTGAAACAAAGGGTAATCATAATTCATTCTAGAAATTTTCTGACTGTTGCAAGACACAATAAATAGATGAATATGAATTCCTAATATTAAGGGATTGTTTCAAATCTTTAGTACTTTTCCTGATTTCTGTCAAATTAGGAATAAGTTGATTTATGACTTATCTTATCTTTTTCATTCAGTTTGATGCACAATAGGATATACAGTGTAGTTAGTTTTCTTTAATTCTTCAGTTTATAAAGTAATGAATTTCAAAAGTATCTTAGTATTTTAGTTTATTATTTTTATGGCATCATCAGAACCTTGTAAAGAAATGTGAACAATCGTAAAGTAAAATGACTACGCACTGCGATTTGAATATCAAATTTGTAATTGTTTATAAATTAATGTCGTACCGTTAGTGAAATCCATTAAATGTGTTATTTTTATAGAATTATAGTTTTTCGCATCCATTTTCATTTATTTATCTATTTAAAAAAATACATGATCAAGAATCATTCTTCAATAAAGACATACAGACATTTGCATTTAGATTTTTTCCGTGTAAACTATTTCAATACTGTTACATCCGGTGGTTTTTGTTCTGTTAAAATACAGATATAAAAACGTGTTTAGTACAAGGAAGTGCTGGGATAACGTTCATAACCGAGTCTGTTGTAGATGTCGCACACATATAAAAAAATGTTATTGTATGCACAAATATCTTCAAGATTTATTTTAATCATATTTTTAAAAAATATGATGTACACATCGTTTTTTCCAAGTTCCAAAAATGAAAACTAAGGATTTTTTTTTTTTATCTCATTACGCCGTTCATAGTCTTGTGTTTTAACCGGTTTCCCATAAAATGAAATATGAAGAGGCGTTCTGTTATCAAACTTAAGGATCTTTTAGGATACAACGAATTTAAATTTATATTTTTATATTTCTGTATAAGATTTCAAATGATTAATAATTTCTAATCATAACCTTATTTAAGATAATAACACAAACCAAAAATTTACTTCATGTATTAAAGAGATATTTTTGAATGAATTTGAAAAGTTATTACATGAATAAAAAAATCCTAAAAAGAATTCTTCGGCAAATATTATTCAAGTTTTCTTCATAAATAATAGTATAAATCTATTACATACTAATATATTAAAGATTGTTGGATAACTTGATATAAATAAGTACACAATGTAACAATGTAAGTAAATAAGATGGGACTTTTTAACTATACACAGAAATGTAAGCGTAGTCATAGAAATCGGTCTCACGATGAATGGATTATACACTTTTTTATTCACTGCTACCTTATCAAGTTCTTTCTTTATCATATTCGCACCACGCTCTACTCTGTCCGTTTGAAATTCCTGATGGTCTATTTAAAAAGTTCTGGGTTTGGGAAACATAATTTAAGGCTAGATATAGAGATGTTCTATGCAAATGAGCTTATGAAAATTGTAATACGTTGTCTTTACACAGGAAAAATGTCCACATGTGTTTAACATATGTTAAACATGTGTTTAACATATATTTTTTACACATGTAAAACACATAAAAGGAGCACACATGTATAGGGTGTTTATTTTTACACATGTTAAACATATGTTTCACATGTGTTTAACGTGTGTAAAAATAAACACATTGTATATTTATACATATGAAATATGTGTTAAAAATGTGTTTTATATATGTTATACTTTATATGTGAATTATACGTGTATAATATAACTGTTGTACTTATTATCATTTTTATACTTTTTTCATGTCTGTCCACATAAAGTATGTGAATCATATGAAAAGGGCAGCATATGTAAGTCATATGAAATAGTTCATGTGTTCTCTTTCAATATTTATCACAAGGAAAAACACATTCTTGTACACATTTAAAAATCAGATATTTCTGCTTTAGATGAAAATCCATTACATTCCAGTGATCTATCTTCATGGGTTAAATATTTGAAAATTAATATCTTAAAATGCTTACACAACTTTTTTGATAAATTATTTTCATCAAGAGAAATAACTTATTTTTCAGTGTACTTTCTAAACAGGAAAGTATACAAACAAGTCAGTAGCATTGTCGATACATATATTTTACATATTCTAAGATGAGTACAATTATAAGATTTTCACAAAATGATTAAATAGTTAAACATGCATACATGTACAAATGAATAACATAATTAGTCCATGTACTTTTTTATAATTTATATGATTTGACATGTAAGACTAGTGTCCAAAGCAAAATTGAAATATCACATATAATATTTGTCATGTATTCTCTATTGTAAATTTATGAAAAATCAAGTTATTTGATATTACAGCATAAAAATAAGAATGGGAATTAAATCTTTACAGGTCAAATGCAGACAAGATTGTGTACATCCTCCCAACTTCATAATTATTTCATATATTTTCTTTTTCTTTTTCCTTCTGTATCTTTCAGTTTTCTTCAGTTGTCCTCCCTCTGATCTTCCATGAGCTTGACCATTTTGAACTCTCTTTGAACTGTACCCAAAATGCAAATCCACCATTTCTCCCTTTCCTGAACAATTTCTTTGTGGCACAGAATGGTCTCTACAAAAATTTCAAAAGTAAAAATAAAACAATTCTTAAATTACAAAATCAATTCTACAAGAAATATTAAAGTTCAGCAAACAAATGTATGCCCAATTCACCAACAGAGATATGATAAGAGATAAAACTAATGTTATATATGCTATACTAGGTGTTTTGTGGAATCCTATGATGTAATTTGCAAGACAATTATACTGTTGGAAGATATGCTTCATAATAAAGTCATAAAAAGCATTTTTTTTGACAATTAAATTTGGAATGTTCAAACAGTATTACTAATTCATATTGCCAAAAATTAAGAAGATTCTGACACAAATATTTTATTTTTGGACAAAAAATTCTACAGAGAAGTAGACAGGCACAAAAACAGACAGTGTGATTCCAGGATATCCCAAACGTTGTTGGGAAGAATATAACAAAGTTTATTTAACAGTGTGTAGTTACCTTAATTAAGTTTTTAAGCAAGTCTTGGATCTTGGGATTTATTCTTATGAGACGCTGACTGTATATTGAACCTGTAAAACAAATATTCATGCAGAAGATATCTTCTAAGCATAACTAAAACTTAATTAAACTACAAAAAATACAACTACAAAAAAGAGAGAGTACATGTTTGTAGGTTCTTAACCTTAGTCTTAATTAATATCTTACATTTACCTGAAACTATGTTCTCTAGTGTTGGAAAAAAATAATGAATGTCAGGTAATGAATACCGGTACATAATAGATGTAAATATCCAATGGATTAGCTAGCTGATGTACTTTCAATAATCAACACATATGCACATGTACTTGTACCTTGAAAGTTGGATGTCACTGTTATTATTAAATTTTAACTGAAATTCAAAAATTCAATACCCCCACTCCCCCCATCGTCGGAAACCCACGGTCGGTCTCGCTTCTCTTACCTCCCGTGGGACACAAGGCCGAAAATTTCGCTAAACTCATTGATATGCGTAACCTAATATGACCTTTCGAGGACCAATGAAAATCGACGTTATCAAACTAGGCAAACAGTAATGGCGGCGCCCATGAGAATAATGTCGTTTTGATGTTTGAAAGTGTTTGTAAACTATGGCAGCCTCGGGGCAAGTAAAAGAATGCTCCTTTTGCTTATCTGTTATTAAGGACAGGGGATATAGAGCATTAGGCTCTAAAACGTCAACGGAACAGTATAATTATGCATTCACCAGATTAAATTTTTTCCCGACCAGCAGTTCATACGCGTGCAATCTATGCACTAATAAATTAAATAGAATATCCAAGATCGAGGAAAGTGTGCGAGCGAAGGTGGAACAGTTGAAAGCTGAGAGGGAAAAGTTACTAGGTATGTGATATTTGGATTCAGACAAAATTGGAAACTTTTTGACCTACTTCTCATGAAGAGGTGTCTATAACATTAACAGTGTACATGTATAAATATTTATCAAAGAATGAGGACTTGAAAGTCTATATCAGTTTTGTGTATTGAATATTCTATTTACTAATAACAATTATTAAACTAAAAAATCCTGCCAGCTATTTTAAAAATCTGGAAATTGTTGCCTTATTTATAAAAGCATTGCTTACATAAATTTACATGGATTTATGATTTGTTTTAAGATGTTCTAAGACAACATCAACAACAGAGAAGTGGACATGTTAAGCCCACTACACCAAGGGTGAGTGCTGTAAAAAGGTCGCTGGATAAGACACCAACACCGAAAGGAAAAAGTAAAAAAGCTCTTTTTAAAACACCTGACAAACTACTGCACCAGAACCCAAGTCATAGTCCCCGTTCAAAGTTACCATGCATTGATGAGGAGGATAAATCAACACAAACACAGGTGTCAGAGAATTTTGATGTAAAGATAATTTTTTATAAATTTTTCAATGGGCGAGGGTCATGCAGCCTTTTCCTTTTACTGTCCAATGTCTTTTCAAGATATGAGAATCTACATTATGGCAAGAGTTCTAACTTACATATGAACTATGCATCATTTAATGTCATCTGCGATGATGCTTTTGTTTCATAGAATATGTACATACATGTACATGTATATGCAACATAAATAAACTTTTCAGTGTTCTATTGTAGATTGTCACCAAGATTGCTGGAGCTGATGTAAGTAGAGTAGTAAAAGATGAAAATTCTAAGGCAGCCTTAAAATCACTGTTTAACAGAAGATCGCCTCATGCTGTCCTGAAGAATTTTTGCAAAGATAACAGCTATATGGATGCGTTATTTCAGTTATGTGCACAGAAGCTGAAAAAAGAAATTGACTGTGTAGTAAGCAAAAAAAGCGACCTATTAAAATGCAAAAAGAGTGAAAGTATGAGGAATCTTGACTGGTCTGTTGTGGAATCAAAACTCAAGGAAGGGATTCCTCATCTGTTTACTATTATGAGCAGTTTGATAGATGTAAAAAAGAAGCAGAACCTTCCAGTGCTAATAATGTCAATAGGTGTACTTCTTTATGGCAGATCAAGATCAGTAAATCAGTTACAGTACATCCTTGGTCTAACACTAGACAAGTGTGGAGTGTCAAAGGAGGTATTTAATTAATATTAATTTTAAAAATTATCAAAATTGGATTGAAATTTAAAAAAAAAAAGTCACATTAATCCTGATGTAGTCAAATATCTATTAAATTAAAGGTGTGAATCAAAAATCATACTGTTCATTGGTTTTAGGGTTTGAAAATTCTTCATGACCTTGGAATTTCTGTGGCAAGCAGCACTATCAACAAAGAAAAGAAACAGCTGATCAAAGAGCAGGAGAAGAAGGTGTCGGCAACAATGACAAGGTATTTACATTCTTATTACCCTTCACCTGAAAATCCAGGAGTCTTACATGTTAAACATGGCATAGAAATCATAGGGGACAATTTAGATGTCACAATTACTCCTGCTAAGATGACAATGATGTCTCAGAGAAAGAGCTTGCATTGGTTCCTGACAATGGTGAAAGAGAAGAGGATCATGTCAGATGATAAACACCCTAGATCAACAGAAGAGAATGGAGAAAAGAGGGATGTTTTGAAGTTACCAACAAGTGCATGGTTGCCATCTTCCGGTGACCTTCACACATTGAATGAAAATATTAAATTTCATATTATTAAAGTCCTCATTACCTATGTTGATTTTCTAAAACCCTTACAAAAGTGTGTGCCAGGTTGCATAACCCATGACTTTATGGACAAAACTCGACAGAAATCAGTCATTCTAAATTGTGACTTAGTAGAAGCTAGTGAAAATTCATCAGAGGGAATGATAACAATTTTGCAAAATGTGAATAAACTGGTTTTCCAAGCAGTTGAAAAGGATCAGAAAATAACAGACAGGGTTGTTTTTGGTGGAGATGTTCTCACCAATGAGCGAGCATTTACAGCTCAAGAAGCCATGCAAAATGCAAAATCAGATTATGATATGTTAGGGGGGCTTGTTCACAGGCCAGAAGGTTTTCACAGGGAGATGAACTTCTTATTGGTAACACACCCTGTTCAGGAATGTTTTAGTTCCAGTTGTTTTTGCTTTTATGAATTAGAGTAAGTATTTTGCAGAGATAATATAGTACTCATAATTAGTTATACATGAAGTGCCATGTATATTTTCATCTTTAAATTTGCAATGACAAATAGGTGGTAATATTGTGAAACTCTGCAGACTTGCTCATGTTCTTTGCATCCAGATTATCAATTTGGCTTTTAAAATTTTAGTAGGTTATAAACTGCATTTACCATTTTTTCAGCATGAATTTCATTACATGTACTATTATTCATTTATCACTTGTTGCCCTCCAAATATTGGTAAATATTATCAATTCCCTAATTTATCTTAGTACATCATATACATGTAGATAGTATACATAGGTTTCAGAAACTGGGAGTTGTAGCCCATCATAGGCCATTTCAATGGGGTTCTTTTAGCATGACTTGATTTTATTGCTTTATAGTTCTTGTTTTTACTAACAACTAATCCTTTTGTACATGGCAAAAGTTGCAAATTTATTGATAATTACATGAAATTACTTAATCTGCATAATTATGCAGATTTCAGACAATTCTAAATCTTTCGATTACGTTATAATTTTATACCCTTTAAAGATGTCTTAAGTCTATATCTATTCCATTTCTTCATTTTTCACATTAATATTTTTTCAGGGAATATTTCAACTATTCTACACTGAGAGCAGTGCATCAGACCATGGTTCCCTATACAAACTGAGGAATACTATCAACCGTCGGTCAGTGACTGGGTCTAAGGAAGTTACAAATAACTTCAGGTAAGTTGAACTATCCAAGTCAAGTATTTTGCAATATAAGTTGAAAATAACAACAGATAAAGAAGAATGTTAATAATGTGTGCCTTGTTATATTCTCTTTTAGATCCCATCATCAATTCATCCAGGATGTGACAGATTCCTACATTGTGTCAACATTTTTGGACATCATGGACATGGAGGAAGTTACCTCACAACCCTCACATGCACCTGTTTTTTCATTAATGAACAATGACAACAAAATGGAGTGGATTACCAATGTTGCCACAGATGTTCTTAATGCACTTGGCCTAAATTCCTGGACATTTCTTAGACATAAGGTTAAAAACCCTTTTTGTGTATGAACCGAATATTGTATTTTTATGTCAGAGTGCTATTCCTTGGATAGATGCAATTAAAAGCTCGCCCAAGCAAAAAGTTTATAATCAAATTAGTCAAGTTTTCACCAGTCTTTGATATTTTTCCATGTCTCCATTATTCATACTTATGAAGCTAAAATTATTAGTACTAAAAATCATTTATTTTGATATTTTAGATCACACCTAGCAGATCTTAGTACTGATGATGTACAGATAGATGCCATGAAGGAAGACCTGTCTTTCTCATGTGCAATGTGTGGGAAAACGTACATTAGGAAAACTTGGCTTAAGAAACATCTAAAGGAAAAGCACAACTGGATCTTTCATGAAATTACAGAGTTATCAGATCCTGATCAACCACTTACATCCTTTCTAAGGATGTCCCTACTCTACCGTGACACCTGTGATGCATACAAAATGGGTGACGGAGACCGCATCATGCGTAATGCCAAGTTTGAGTGGTTGTATGCCTCTGCTTTAAGTCACTCAAAGTACAAGATCTGGTTGTGGAGAATGCTGACATATGTTAATTCTATTCTTCCACCTGACCAGGCATTCGAGTATATGTGGAATATGACCGTAAATCTGAAGGGCGGCATTTACAACAATATCCCTAATGACAAATGTGTAGAACTGCAAGTACGCAACATCAAGAGAGAACTCAACACACAAGGAGCAAATAAATCCTTCCAATCAGCAAAAACAATTTGCATGACTACACAAGTCATTGACAGCATTAAAGATCAGCTTTTGAGGACTACCAAAATAGTGAAGTCGTCGAGACACAGACCGGATGTTGATAAAACAGTTGATATCATTACTGTGGTTAAATCGTTGAGAAGCAAAGGACCAGTGTCAGATCTTTGCTGGGAGAGTTTCTCAAAATTTAAAGATCCAATTCACCAAATTGACATTCTTAAATTACATGAATGGATAAACGAACAAAAGAACATTGCTGACTTATATATGTAAACTTATTAGGGCATATCTAACTCTCTCAGTTTTGTTGTGACATAGTAACTCAGTGTGTTCCATTTTTTAACAAGAGATGTTTGTAAAACACTTATGCCCCCTCCCCCAAATTGAAATATTTCCAAGTTCAAAGGGCATAGCTCTGACAAAAATGGTGAGATCGTACCCAAAACAATACTTCACTAAGATATTCAGCTGATAAATCTGTATACCAAATTTCATTTCAATATGTGCAGTCTCTGCAGCGAAAATGAACGGAAACTGTAAATAATTGGAATTTTTCTAAGTCCAATGGACAGAAATCTGACAAAAATGGTGCAATTGTATCCAAAACAGAACTTGACCTAGATATTCAGCTAATAATACTGTATTTTAAATTTCATTTCAATATGTGCAATGGTTGCAAAGAAAATGAACGGAAACTAAATGGATGGACCGACTGACAGACAGCAGCAAAGCAATATACCTTCCTTCTTCGAAGGGGGGCATGAAAACAAAAACAGATTTTAGTTTAAGCATTTATTTAAAAATGGCAGTAGTATAGCTTGATCAGTACACTATTATAAATGTAAAAGTACAGGAAGTAAATGTTATAAACTGATGACATTTTACCATGTTGAACATATACATGTATGTATAAACCTCATATTATATAAAAGAAATAAAATATGTTTAAGCTTTGAAGGAGTACAAACTGATTCATAAATTTGAAGTATAAACAAAAACTTGTTTCAATTTTTAGGGTTTAAATTAAATTTTATCTTTAGTGTTGGCATGATTGTAATAAACAATGAGCCCTCTATCAAAATTGTGAAATTCATGGCCCCTGGGTCAGGGGTTCTGGTGTTCCTCTGCTCCTGGGTATTATGCTAATGATCTATGTACATATTTATAGTGAGGAATGGTGCCTCATCCCAAGTTTCTGTATCCCAGTGAAAATGTATTTTATCACAGATTTAAATGAACCTTAACATATTTTTAAAAAATAGGTCTATCACAAAGGCTGACAATATATATTGGCAAAATTGTACAAGAATACCGACTGATTTATGAAATGCAGCAATGTATGCGTGCATATTCTTTTAAGGATAGTTTGAATTACATGTACTACATCTTAATGCTTACTCCCAATCTGAATCTGTAAACAAGTCATGATCATCCTGGCTACATGAATCGGAAGAAAAAGCTGGAAATTGAGTTTTATAATAAGGATGTTGTGCTTAACTACATTTTTCACAATCTTTCACTTGACACTTCTTATCACATATATCACAACACATATGCATGTCCCTATCCATAGTAGGTTTACTCTTATAAGAAGATAATATATTTTCACGACGACATATGGTTTCATTTTTAAGATATATTTTCATGTCATCATCTATACATTTAATATCACGTTTTGTGTAAATTAATAAAGACATTGCTGAGCCACCATCTCTACCTGCTCTGCCATACTGCTGAACAAAAGTATCCATATCTCGGGGGCTACCATAATTAATTGTATATTTCACTCCCTCCTTTGAAATTCACACCCATTCCAGCTGCACTGGTAGCAATAAGAATTCTAATTTTGCCATTTTCTTTAGACATATCCTCTTTTACTAATTGTTTAACATCATCTGTGGTTTTTGAATGATACATTTCAATATGATCGATCAATTTAACATTTTCTTTAAACATAATTCTAAACATAGTGTACAATTTACTACAAGTTCTGATAGAAGGGCAAAAAATCAGATACCTATCACAGAGCTCTCTTTTTTCTTTTAACATCAGAATTAGAAAGAAGAATGTATTCTCTAGTGGAGTGTTGTATTTAACACACTGTAAAAATAATTTAATATTGTTCCTGTCTGGGTTCTCTATAATTTCTAAACAGTCTGTCATACAAAATTTTCTTTGTAAGGCTTTCCTGGCAGCTGAATTTGCTGTAGCAGTCATCAAAATTACAGAACATTCCACAAGGCTTCGCAGTTCCCCTAATCGACCATACCAACGTCTGAAAGGGTCTTCCTCGCTCGCAGACTCTCCCCCTAAAAATGAGGGGAATAATTTAAACCCTGTTTGAATTGCTCAAATTTTGATAGATTGTAACAATCATTGCATCATTTTCCCCCTTCAGAAAAAAAACTTACCAATGTAACACTGTGTGGGCTTCATCTACAGCTATTAATCTAATGGTTGAATTGATTGTCACCCAATCTCTCCACTTTCCATTTAGCACAATTTCAGGTGAGGTGAAAATGAATTGCATTTCATTTCTTAATATGGAATCGTCGTTTTCACCACCTTTATCACGAAGGAATAGTTAAATTAAAAATATACTAATACATTACATTGGAAAATGTTTGTTTTGATATTATTTAATTTTAATAAATAAAAATGTCAGAAAAAAAACAAAACAACGTTGACATGTTTCCTGTCATATGAAAATCAGTATTGAGTAACCAAAAACAGTTTTTGTTTATCATCTAATGCCGAGAAATTATTTTACTTTTAATTGATTGAAAAATTCCTTTTCTTTAATATATCTTTTTTACATGTTATCAAAAAAATAGTTTCATTTACACTGCATATATAGTTTATGTAGATAAATAGGTCATATAAGAGAGGTCTTCTTACCAATAAATGCTGAAAGAAATCCTAAACTATTCAATGAATTGCACTGTTCATGCATAATGGAAAGGATAGGTGTGACGACCAAAACTGAGATCGGATTGTTGTCGTCAAAACTAGCGTTATATGCCTTGTGGAAGCCCTGGTAGCAAATACTTTTCCCACCTCCGGTTTTGATAGACAGAAAAACGTCTCTTTTCTTCAACAGCGCTGCCAAAGACTCTCTTTGAAAGTCTTTTAGATCGTTTATTTGGAAAACTTCTTTCACTTTCGCCTCGAATGTCTCCATATTGTTTGCAAATCCTTCCCGACATACGGGTTGCAACAATGACTTTGATTGGGTAATTAAAGCTACACATCGCAATACGGTTTCGTATTGCGACCAATGAAAATGCGTTATTGAGACACACCTCCAAGCGAAATTTTCGGTCTTGTGTCCCACGGGAGGTAAGAGAAGCGAGACCGACCGTGGGTTTCCGACGATGCACTCCCCCTGAAGTCATTTACAGTACATGTACCAGTTTCATAGCTTTTAAAGCCAGCGAATTCTATTCATACTTTCCATATTTTAAAAGTGCACTGGATTAAAACTGTTTTATAATATAGAATAAAATTATTGTAGCATTGAGTTGGACTTATTATTTATGAAGTCGTGCAAACAACAAATGTAGAATTATAAAGGAACAAAAAGAAATTACAATGTATCAAGAAATATTTTGTCATGAAGGAGTCATTACAGATGTTTACTTTGATTTTTTATTGCAAGTAGTATTTATTTTTACCTTTAATATTGTGAAGATGCAATCTTCTGTCAAATCAGCTTTAGGATCAATCGCCAGTCTGATCAGCTTTGGGCTTTTTAGACGCAGCAATGTGACACTGATCTCAAGTTACTGCATGCATCTATAGGCCATAAAACAAACACTTGTTATTAAGTTGATGAAAGAATCGACTTGACAGCCATCTCAACATACATAAACACCAACTGACAGTCACAATGGTTTCAAGGTTTCTACTTTCACTTTCATATCAGTACGTAACCACAAAAGGAAAACCAATAATGCCTTTAAAAAATAGTCTAACATGTAATGTTTATGGTCATTCAGAAACAAATTTATCCAAAATTACTTACCTGTTTACAAATTATAAAAAATAGTAATGCCTTTAGCCTAACATGTAACCGCTTACATTCACGGGCACTGGAAGTTAATATAAATAATATAGTATGTGTTTGTATAAAAAAAAGAAGGGTCTTTTTTATACATACACATACTATATATTTACATTAACTTCCAGTGCCCGTGCTTACATTCAGTCAGAAACATTTTTCACCAAAATTACTTACAGATCACTATCGTTAGGTTTACGAAATGCATGACAAGTCACAATGATAAGAGTATTACATTTATATAGAAAGTTCATACGCACCTGTAACTATAATGAAATGATATTTAAACAATATGAATTAAAAGTCTTTTAAAAATTGTTTGGAGATTACTTACCTTTCCAATACACCCAGCACGTCTGCTGCAGCAGTGACGTCAAAAATGACGTACATTTTCATCCGATAAAAGACAAAACCGGCCCGGAGACAAATACGGAATTATTTTAATTTTACTCAAGAAGTAAGCCAAGCCCAAAAGATTTAAAATGAAAAGAAAATGAATTCATTCTTTATCAATTTTGTCTGATAAATGCATTATCACAGAAAAAAATTGTGAAAGTTTTTTTTAGAAGGGAAAGGGGGGGATAAACAAAGTAAAACTTTACATGAGTAAAATTTTTCTTACATTTACAAATTCTTTTAAATTAATGTACACACATATATGAGATAAAACTTAACATGTGTATAACATGTGTTTATGAATACACATATATTTTATATAAATTAAACATGTATAATTCATCTGTATTTTCGCACACATATATTACATATATATAATACGTGTTATACATGTGTGGTGAAAAACATGTGTTTAACATATATATTATCTCACAGGTGTATAACATGTGTATATTATATATGTTTTACATATAAATGAAACACATATTTTACATGTGTTTATTTACACACATGTATTACATGTATAAAACATGTGTTGAACACATGTGAAACCAAACACATGTTTAACACATGTTGACATTTTTCCTGTGTATCTTTCATACAGAGAAAGTTTTAATTTATTTCAGTTTTATCTAGCACTCATGAAAAAAGGAAGTTGAAAGAAGTATACGTCACGATTTTTACCATTCAAGGTAATAAAACACACGAAACAGCGTCGGCCTAAGGTCATGTCCCGTTTAATCTTAAATAAATATTGTATAATATTAAGAAGGGATTATAAAAATTAATAGAATTTCTGCCCAAATCCTATGTACTCTCTATTTTGATAAGAGTTTGAGGAACACAATGGACTGTGAATTTTTACCATGTTTTAACTCGAAGCTTACCAAATAGTTACCAAACAGTTTCATTGTGTGAAGCAATATCATAAATCTTAAAAATATCTAGTCTCAAATTTTACCATTTGATTCTGAAAAACAAAATAAGGTATGCCCATCCACCAAAATTATTTTGTTGATGTTCCTTAAAACCTTTACCTGACTCCTAAACTACATAAAATCCTTACCAACGAAGATAGAAGATATATAATTATTACTTATTCAGCACCCTTTCCTTGAAATTTAGCACAAAAAAAAATGATTTACCATGGTAACCACACATCACTAAATATGGCCTCCTGGATGCATTTTTAAACTAAAAAATTAAACAACCGATATAGTTAAATATAAAATAAATATATCTGCTTAAGAACAAGACTGAAATCAACCAAAATGATGCAAGTTACACTGCATGAAAAGTCGGGTTTAATTTTACCTTAAATGTGATTTAAATGCTGCGATTATTTAATGTTTAAATGCATATTATAACATATTGTGGGATCGTAAATGTTAGAAAATAATTAGCATTTAATACGAGTTTAATGAAAAATTAAAAGAACAAATTTAATAAAGTTTGGATAATTGTAAACTTACTAATACGTACGGATTTTAGTCTGCCGTAAACAATTATTATACCTCTAATATACAAAACGTATAATTATTATTAAACATGGCCATAAAATTAAGTTTTACGGTCACATTAAATTTGTTCGTTTAATAAAAATTAACGTAGATCTTTACCTCATTATTTTTTGTTAAATTCACACTTTACTTTATAATACTTCCAAAAATAAAGTTATATACGGAGAATTGTAAACTTACTAATACGTGCAAATTTTATTCTTTCATAAACTAATATTAAATCTCTTGTATATGTGATGAAAATATACGGATTAAACCTTCCCATATAATTAAGATTTAAGGTTGTATTTGATGAAATTTAACATTATTATATTATTGCATAATATTTTTATTTTACATTTATTCCATCAATAATTTGTATGGTTTACAATTGTGGGTTTTTTGGCAAGTATTTTACAATCTTACACAAATCCATTTCTCATTCAATTTTATTAGATGTTATCTCAATAGTGTACAAACAATGAGTTCTAACAAAGTACAAAATATTTCAAATCTAAGCCTACAAGTCAGAATTAAAAAATTTACAATCATGATTGTAGCTCAATTATAATGGAGTAAATTTCTACATACTAGTAGTAAGTAATATACTGAAGTAATTATAAATAATATTAGAATAGTATTGTATGTAAAATTCAAATCCGCAATAAATTAAAACACAACAGGTAAAAAATGTAGTCATTCTGGACTCCAAAAGACTGCAAAATCTGACTGAAACTGCCCCTATTAAAACTTCTGCATGGGTTGTAAATGGCTTTTCAATTTCCCACAATAAATTATATCATACTTTGCATAAAAAGAGTAAAAGTTGCCAATAAAAGTTGTCAATTCTTTTTACATGTACATTTTAATAAGACACACTAAGCCACTAACAGAGAAGCCTCACTCGCCCACAAGCAACAGCAAAAGGATCGGTCAGAGACACCACCTTTCTCTTGCTTGGGTATCAAGATCTGCAACTTACTGCCAGCAAAGCTCTTTTAGACCACCCTTATATTGTTTCCCAAGTATTTCAACAATAGATTCCATGCACTTATTATCCAAGTTCAACTTGAAAAATACTTAATGTTGACTGTGAAAAATACAAGACCCAAAAAAATCCTTTATATCATTTGGTTATGTCAATTCAAAATAAGGAAAAAGTATCACAATTACACAAAACAATAGCAGCTTAAATTTGTTTACAATACATGTAGCTCATTTCTGTTCCAACTGCTAGGTTTATTGCTTGATGATTGTAATATAACATATCCTCATTAAATCAACGTTACATTGGAATGCAAAACATTTCAATAGTGATATTTTCAACTTCGCTTTAAAATATCAAAAATGAGCTCTGAAACATGCACATATAAAAGTCCTGTATAAACATATGTAAAAGTATATTTAGCAATTTTTTATGCCTTAATTACAATTCCATAACTCATAATTCATAAACTCTCTTACTTCAAATGGAAGGAAACAAATTAATATTTTACTCTTGCAATTCTCATTTATTTACTCTTGCAATATCAATTGTAATATATATTAAAATCACAATTCACCCCTTTTTTACTCAGAAATGTCTCTACCTCACTTGCCTATTCTATTTTTTACATCTATGACTCACTAAGCCACTGACAGAGAAGCCTCACTCGCCCACAAGCAACAGCAAAAGGATCGGTCAGAGACGCCACCTTTCTCTTACTTGGGTATCAAGATCTGCAACTTACTGCCAGCAAAGCTCTTTCAGACTACCCTTGATCATGATTGTCTTATTTTTTTCCACAAAAATGTCCATGCACTTATTATTTAAGTTAGACTTGTACATAAATGTGATATACAAATCAAGATTAAAATGTATGTGATTGCAGACCAATAAATGTTTAAACAATAAAATACATAACAGTTTTAATCTGTAATCAAGCATAAGAAAAAACTTTCACTGTCAAAAATACAACACTAGGTATATTTTTCTTATCTAAAATTTAATTTGTGCAAAACAGTAGCAACTCAGATATTTCATCTCTAATAGCCCATCTCTGTTCAATTAATACATCCATAGGTTTGACTCTTTTAGATTCTTTATTTGTCCTAGTTCTTCTTATGCTCTGCCTTTTAGAGTGCTTTGATTTGAGAATGGCACTTTTGGTGTCCAGTTCTTTGAAGACATTCTCACATTCATCAGAACGCAACTTCAGCTTTCTAATTTCATAGATAGTATTATCTTTAGAATCATTTTTTGTACTATGAAAATGTAATCAATATTTAAAACTGCTTTTTCTTGCTTCTTCTTCTCTTCATGCCAAGAAGTTTTCAGCTCTGGAGAAGCACCCCTAGCTCCTAATTTCTACAATAAACATAAAAATAAATACCCATTTGCCTATATATACATATTTATATGTGTGCTTCCGGATTTATGCAATTGCATATATTAAATAGTAAAAACAAAATCTTAGTTGATTTTAAAATTATCATTTGACCTAGAGGAAACACAGCTCAATTTTGCTTAATTAAAAATTTACAGAAGACTACAAAAGATATGCCATTTTTTCAAATCTGGGTAATAAAGACAGATAATTATCTATAATTTCAGGCCAGCGAGCTACAGATTTCGAAGCGTGTAAATTTGGGACTAATGATTTTTTTCACCATCTTTTTTTTTTTTGGAGCATTTTACCTGCTTGACCTTGAACATGTTGAGGTGCTTTTTTCTCTGCTCCTCCACACTAATTCTTCCATTTAGCAGCAAGATACTATGGATATGGTAAAAAGCTGTCATAAACAAAATATGAAAAATTAATAACAGGTGTTGCTCTCCATAGAAAGAATATACAAAAAGGAGAAAAAATATACAAACAGGGTATACTTATGACTAACATGACTACAGCAAGAAGATAACATTTTACACAATGAAAAAAAATCTCTGTGTCATCTAGTTAAGTGAATTGCATAAAAAACATATAATTATATGTAAAGATCAAATTTATAGACGACAAAATATGATATGAAACATACATAATGGTACAGTAGTCCGAGCACATGGAATTTGAAGATTTACAAAGTTTAGGAAAATGCAAAGAATAGCATTTACAGCATTTATCATATTAAGACACACATATATATAGTTTCTCAGCAGCAAGCTGCAGAATTTGTGGAAGTACATGTAAATTGGGGACTGGTGACTTTTTGCCATTTTTTTTAGCAATTTACCAATGTATTTACCTGCTTGACCTTGAATATGTTGAGGTGCGCAGCCCTTTTCTTCGTGTTCCTCCACGATATTTTATTTAATGTAGCAGAAAGATACTATGGATAAAAAAAATATGAAAAATTAAAAGCAGGTATGGCATCTCGTAGAAAAAATATATAAACAGATGTATTTATGATATAGAGCAAGTAGATAACATTCATACAATAATAAAATCCTCAAACTTTGTGATCTAGTACATATTATGATATGTATTATATTAAATTTAGAGACGACAAAACATGTTATGAAATGGGTGTACATACTCGGAACACATTGAATTTAAGAGTAAACTTAAATGCAAAGGTTAGCGTCTACAGCATTTAACATGCAAGTTATTGGGATAATGAACAAGTGATTTAACATAAAGTAAAATATATTAACAACTTACATTGTAGATAGCAAGTTTTTTAAGTGGACAACAAATGCAAACTTCCAGTAAAT